CTAATACCTATGTTTTGAGATAAATTAGCAAAAATATTTTATTATCTCTGAAATATACAGAAATTCATTTGGTTGTATGTATATTTAAGAAGGAATATCTTCACGGATTGAGTTTGAAAAAGTTTCACTTGATAGTACAATAATTCCTTTAAAGAGAACTCTTAAAGGAATTTTATGGTGAAAATCATTTTTGGTACTATTGTGTGTGCGTGTGTGCTCACTCAGTCATGTCTAACTCTTTATGACCCCATGGACTATAGCCCACCAGGCTCTGTCTGTGGGATTTCCCAGGCAAGAATACTGGAGTGGGTTGCCATTTCCTTCTCCAGGGGGTCTTCCTGACCCAGGGATTGAACCCACATCTCCTGCACTGGCAGGCAGATTTCTTGACCACTGCGCCACCTGTATGCATTTACCCTTTTCAGTATTTAAAAACTAGAACTCAAAAATGAATTATTTAAAAGGGAGATAGATCTCCAAAGATGAATATAAAAAGCTTAATATATATATATATATATATATATATATATATATATATATATATATGTAAAGCTTGTATGAGCAATAACTAAAGACGACTTATTACATAAATGTAGATAACTTCATAACAGGAAAATTTAATCTTTACAGTGTACCAGTGATGCAGTTAGTGTAGTCAAAGCATTAAAATGAACTGAAGTCATACCTCACCTTCATTTATATCCAAAAACTTGGTGAATGAGTCATTGGTAATTACAACATAGCATCCAAAACAGGAACTGAGAGTTCTTAAAATTCAAGCATCTTTAGAATAAACACATATCCAGCTTGGAATGGAATGAAAAACCAGGGGTTATGTAACAGGAATGCTAACTAGGCTTTGTATATTCTTATAATCATTTTTTATGTTTACGTGCATACTCTCTCCATGGTAGAATTTACTGATTATCCTGAAAATATTTACCTATAAAAATTTTAGAAATTTTTTTCAAGATTTAATAATCCAGAGAAATAAGCTAACAAAAGGCCAAATCAGTAAAATTGTACTTGCTTCCTTACTTTTATAGCTTTAAATATTTATATATTTAAAAGAGCAGACTAGAGGGGGAAAAAATGAGCAATAAAATTCAAAGTAAGTAGAAGAAAGAAATATTAAAAGCAAGAGCAAAAATCAGTGATATTGAAAACAGGGTAATACAGTTAACAAAGCCAAAAGTTGGTCTTTGAGAATATTAATAAAATTAAACCTCTAGCAAAGTGATGGAAAAACCTAAAAGACAGATTATCCCTATCAGGAATGAAATCAAGAATGTTATTTAGATCTTTCAGATGTTAAAAGGACAATAAGGAATATTATGTACAAATTTAAACCAATAAATTAAAGTCACCAAATTTCTTGAAAAATACAGCTTACTAGAACTGATACAAGACAGAAAATGTGAATAGTTTTAATATTAAAGAAATTATCAGGAATTTTCATACAAAAGAACTCCAGGTCCACTTTGCTTTATTGGTGAATTCTAGCAAACATTTAAGGAGTAAAAAGCTTTAATTCTACAGAGATTTTCAGAAAATAGGGGCAAATGGAATACTTACCCTATTTTTTAAAAAAAATGAAAACAAGTATTACCCCAATAGCGAAACGAGCCAAAGACATTTCAAGGAAAGAAAGTGGCCATACCAATATACATCATGAACATAGATACAGAAATTATTGAACTATTAGCTAGTTGAATCCAGCAGTATATAAAGAACATAATACCTTATGACCAAGTCGAGTTTATCTCAGAATGCAGGGTCGTTTTAAAATTAGAAGAGTCAGTTACTATAATCTACCATAATAAAATAAAGGAAATCCCTCATGATCACTTCAATACATGCAGACAGACATTTGACAGGATTCAACTCTGATTCATGACTTAAAACTCTGAGGAAACTAGGAATAGAAGAAAACTTAATTTGATAAAGTGCATCTGTGGAAAACCTACAGCGAACATCATGTTCTGTTGGGAAAATTAAGTTACCAGACAACTCTCCACTAGACAATATATGTCCCCATTTCCCCCTTTCCTCCCACCAGTGCTGAAATTCTTCTGGCTTTCTCCTTCAACTGTCTCCTTCCCGGATTGTTCCCTGTGCTCACTTTCCTCAGAATATTGTTGAACCTTGAAGAAGATGGCTGCCTCATTCTTAAAGCTTCTAACAGGAGATTCATTCACGTATGTTTACCAGGTGGACACTCCAAGTCCAAAAAGCCTGGGGACTCTGTTGATTCAGGAAGTTTTATGAAATCATCCCCAGATGAAGGTGGAACTAGTTGATTCAGTAGCAGAAGTCCAAATGAATAAACCATCTTGTGATAGAAGCACCATCAGCAGAAGACGAGGAGAAATTCCTAAATACTCAGCTGTTAAGGCCTTGATTTCAGAGGATAATAGCTAACATGCATGACAATACTATTCCTATTACACCTAAAACTGAGGCACAGTGTCGCAGTGTGCTGGCCCAAGGTCCCATCTATAGTAATGAGTAGAGTCAGAGTTTAAATGAACCCAACTAGCATGGCTCTAGAGCCTGTACTTTTTGAGGCTTTTCCCTTTTTGAGGAGCAGAGACTTGGAGGAGACCCTCTGGGACAGACCCATGAGGATGGCAGAGGGATAGGAAAGGTAACTTTCATCATACTCAGATTCTAAGGTATCTGAAAGGAAAATGTCATGGGTACTTCTGAAAGTGGGAGCAGGGAGTGGAGACATGAGAGAGAAGCAGGCTCTGGTGAAATACTAGACTAGTTCTCCAACTTTAATGTGTTTGTGAATTGCTTGGGGATCTAGTTAAAACACAGATTCTGATTGAGTAGTTTATAGAGTGGAGCCTGAGAGTCCACTTTTCTTAACAAGCTCCCAGATACTGGCAGTGGTACTGGTCACCCTTTCAGTAGTGAGGTGTTAAATACATACATTTATATTATATTGGACGTCACTAGCTATTACTAGGCCAGTGACCTGGCCAAACAGATCTATTTTGATTCAGTTGTTTAGAAAATATACAAAAATTTAGCAGTTATACAAAAAAAAGAAAATTAGATAATAGCAACTTCTTAGTACTATGTCAAGTTTGGAAGTTGATATCAAAAGCAAGTTCTAGTGAAGCTTTAATGGTAAAGATGAGTATATGGATAATAATTACATAAAAACACTGAAATTTTATAATGTGATAAAAATAGCATTTATGAGGCATTCATCAAATATTGTGGAAGATTTTCTATTAAATACAGTGATTTAGACTGTTCTTTTGGTTATCTTTGCACCTCCTCAGAATTCCTCTAAAATGGCAGTAAGGGGAAAAAATTTTTTTTGAGTACCATTAAGGGCAAAGGGAACAGAAGAGAGAATAGTGTCTAAGGAATGTTGACAAAATCACAAAATTTTGGTAGAATAAAAAGATGGAGAAGTGTTAATTGACTAAGCAAAATGGTGACAGCTGAAATTTATTAATACATGCTTACAGTGGGGTCTGCTAATAAGAAGTAAGCTAATTTGCACAGCAGAATGTTAGAAAGAGTCAGGAATTAGAGGAAACCAAATGAATGGGTGTAGAGTGAAAGGTAGGGGGAGGGGTCAGTGGAAAATCTATACCAAGAACAAGTAGACGCCAGGACCTGACTCTTCTCCATATAACGAGGAAAGCACCATTGCACATTACTGTGAAATTTCACATGAATAAAAAATTCCAGGAAAAGTTAATATACAGAGAATTGCCATCATCATAGCATCAGGCTTCTCAATAGCAAAGTCTCTGAAAAGAATAATTCCTTCAGAATTCTAAAGATAAACTCTTTCCATCTTGACAGCCAAACCGTCAATCACATGTGAGGCAGAACAAAGACCTTTTTGGATGCATAGTCTCAAAAAATTCTCTTCCTATACATTTATTCTCAAAAAGCTATCAGAGGATGTGGTTCACGAAAGCAGAAGCATTGACCCCGAAGACATGGGATATAGAAAAAGGAGATCCAGCATAGAAGGTAGATGACAGATATGCCCAGAATACAGTCAAAAGGAGTCCCAGGAAGGCACTGTCCAGTGGGAAGCCAGAGATGAGAGCTCCAGGAGGAAAAACAGCTAGGGAAAAGTTGTAATTTTAGGCTTCTGTATAGATTTGACAAATGCGGAATGTTGTATTTAGAGCCACTGGAGTGGGATGCTAGACATGGAAAACTAAACAATAAAAACAAGTCTATTATAATATTCAGGAGGAAAAGAAATGTTTTACAGGAAGAGAATCATAATCAGAGTATACTACATGGCTCTGAAGTTAAAATATTTACATAATTATAATAGTGGAAACCTGACAATCAGCTTATCCAGACATGGTGCTAACCACTGTAATGGTTGTTTGGGAGGGGAGATTAAGCATGCCAAATACTTAACTTAGTATGTCGATAAATCAAGACACAGCTCCAGAAGCATTGTTAAAAAATACAAAGATAAATGTCCAAAGAAATGGCAAAAAGAATTGAAGGGACTGAAGAATAAAGAATAGGTAGAAAGTGAATAAGGGGCAGCTATTTTTGTCATAAACTTTTTTGTTAACACTATTGTGTTAATTCTCACAATATTTTGTGTGTCTTGTGGAAATTCTCAAGCATACTCACAAGTATAGAGAAAAGTACAGTGAATCTCCATGTACCCCTCATCCAGCCCCAATAATTACAGATGTGGCCAATCACATTTCATCCATACTCTCACTAATTTTATTTTATATTGTAAATCTTTAAATATTATTTAATTTTTAAAAAATTTACTGAAGTATAGTTGATTTAGAATGTTGTGTCAATTTTTACTGGACAGCAAAGTGATTCAGTTACACATATACATTCTTTTTCTTTTCTATTATGGCTTATGATAGGAAATTGTAAGTACTATTTAATTTTAAATTAATAGTTAAATCCCTGCAGATGATAGGAATAATATTTGTGAAAAATTATCACTATACACCAAACTGCTTTGTGACCAAAAGGAAAATAACAGTAATCACTACCTCAGACAACATGACCCCATAAGAACCTTATCAAAGTTGGGTACATGTGGTAGACAGTATAATACACTAGAAATGAATATGGACATGAGTGATAAAAGTGAGGAAAACACACATCTCTCCACAAGTGGCTCCAAAGGAATTGTAACTAAAAGTCAGAAAATTAAGAGAGTCCCGGGCACTCGGAGAATCCGGGCAGCCCCCGGCTGGAGCCATGTCCCGGAACCTGCGCACTGCTCTCGTTTTCGGTGGCTTCATCTCCCTGATCGGCGCCGCCTTCTACCCATCTACTTCCGGTCCTTAATGCGGCTGGAGCAGTACAAGAAGAACAAACCATTAATCGAGCTGGTATTGTTCAAGAAGACGTGCAGCCACCAGGGTTGAAAGTGTGGTCGGATCCATTTGGCCGGAAATGAGAAGATTAACACCGCCTCTAATTATGCAAGTAGACAGAGACTTCATGCTTTCAGTTCTGCAGCAAGTGCAATAAGTCACCTGGCTAGAGAACAGTGGCTGGAGCAGAAAACTCTAGAAGGCCACAAAGAGTCCTGTGCATGAGGATTACGTCCCTTCTTAAAAGAACCCTGGAACAAATCATACTATTAGGAGGGCTTTCATGATTTGGTTTCCTTTCTAAAAATGAAGCTGTCTCACTCAGCTGGGCTTGAAGGCTATCTACATATTATTCAGTCTCTACCTCTTAGCCAACCACGCTGTGATATGAATACAAGCAACCAGTAGACTGGGAAAGATCCTAGACTGTTTTGCCATCCTCCAAATAGGAAATTTCAGGGGAAAACTACCATATTGAGCAGCCTCATAGGGCTCTTTGAAAATGTTAAAGTTGATAAAACTCTTTGAGGACAAGGTACATTGTACTCTTCAGGAATAAATAGTTCAACTTAACTATCTCATTAGGAAGGTTGCTGCATGTTGAGAAATAAATTTTAAGCAAACTAAATGGGTCTGCATGCCTATTAGAAATCATTGTTGAATTGACTGAAGTGAAAATGTATATATTAAAATGATTTCTCTTACTTCAAAAAAAAAAAGAAAATTAAAGAAGTATCAGGAATTAGGCTATCAGCAAAATATGGCTACAGCATACTGACATGAAACGGCAGTGTCCACATCTGCCCCTCCCCACTTACTGTATATAATGTCATGAGTGATGGTTTCCAGTCACCACAGTACACTGCCTGCTCGTTAGAAACTTGGTTTGGCGTGCAAATTCTGTGCTCCTGTATGTGACAAGATGAAGAAAGGAGAAGTAGTGTGAGTCAATAGCTAATTCAGAGTATGTATAATAAAAATGTAAAAATAATTGCTTCTTTCTTCTAATATATAAGAAGCAGAGAAAAAGGTGGGGCACAGGTCAAAAGGATTGAGAGTGGGGTGCAGCGTATACATAACCAGGGAGCGGCTGACATGGAAAGGGAGGTAAATTCTAGCACATTTCTGATTACATTCCCATGCTGGTATTTAAATAATTTGGCAATGACCTACCATTTAGAACTGCGTACATTTTACCTATCCCCACCCCACCCCACCCCACCACCCTGCCTGCAAGGTGAAAGTGCAAGTTGCTCAGTCGTGTCTGACTCTTTGTGACCCCATGGACTATAGAGTCCATGGGATTCTCCAGGCCAGAATACTGGAGTGGGTTGCCTTTCCCTTCTCCAGGGTATCTTCCCAACCCAGGGATCGAACCCAGGTCTCCTGCATGGCAGGCGGATTCTTTACCAACTGAGCCACAAGGGAAGCCCACCCACAAGTTGAACATAACTATGTTTTGTTTGTTCAAAGGGGAAAGCTATCAAACGTACAGAAAGGTAGCCAGCAGTGCATCAAGGCTCCAAAATGACAGATTCTTATCAGGAGAAGCAAGTCTGGGGCCAGAAACTCAGGGCCACCCCCAAGCCAAGGGGCAGCATGGGAGCCCACTGAAAGATGGTGTGGGTCCGCATGGACGTTGGCACCTTTCATTGCCTGTTCTGGCTCTCCTGCCCTTTCTTTTCCTGCCCTTGAGCGTCCAGTTTGGAGTGGGTGGGGCCAGTTAGTGATTTGGGAGTTGCTTCAAAGCACAGAATTATTGTGAGAACAAATTGATACTGTGCAGTGAAGCACCTGATGCTCAGAGAGGCCAGATGAAGGGCAGATTCTTTCTGAAGGCATCAAGTGAATAATTCTTCCCAGAGTTGCTACATTTTAAGAGAATGGTTGAGCAGTGTGTTTTCCGGTTAAAGGTGGTAATAAGAGCCAAGGCATTCATTCCCTCAAAATTAATCCCTGATCTTTCCTACTGACTGCAATAAATGTGAGAAAGAAATTTTCAGTGGTGATATTTATGAATTGTTAATTAGCATAGTTGACTTTTGTTGACCTCATTAGTGGGAGTCAAAATTTGAAAGAAAATAAAAGTTAAAATTCATGGGATTCTGATTCATGGAATTTCAGGTGGGGCCTGGGGAAAAAAATCTGCATTTTCTAAAAATGTCCCAGGAGATTCTGATGAGCAACTAAGTTGAAAACACTTCATTCTAAGGATAGAGGCAAATGGTAACCACCACAGTGGAGTTTAGTTATAAATGACACATTCCATACCCTTCTTTGCCTTCCAGATGTGGTCAATAAAAATGCAGCCCATAAAAGTTGAAGCCCTTCCAAATATGGTCATGGATGTGGTGAAGAGTTTACTTTAGGACATGTGGAGCTTGGTATGATGAGAACAACCAGGTCAAGGTGGCCAGGAGGGAGTTAGATATACAGGTCAGAAGCTCCAGAGAAGTCTTGGCTGAACATGGGTTTGGGAGACATTAGCAGATAGATGGAATGAACACTGAGGGGAGCAGCCTGAATGAAAAGAGACCCCCCCCACCCTAAAAAAAGAGAAAAGAGACCCAAGCATGAAACCGTATGGGTGGATATGGGCATGACCATTGTAACTAATCTTTCTTCCTTCTACTTCGGTTTTTGGTAAAAACTCAACTCTTTTTCTGTGCTAATCTGTGTTTCTATTTAGACTCTTGAGTGCCCAGTTCTTTCAGCCATCACTCATGTGCTTTCCAGGCTCCGACCCACCTGAGCTAATGTTACTTGTCAACCTCTGATTTGAAGTATCCTTCTCAAAACTTAGGACCCAGAAATAAGTATGACCCTCCAGAGGTTCACCCAGTGTAAGCAGGATGCAGGAATGCTGCTCCTAGCTGGTACTGAGGCACCACTCGTTACCTGTCAGCAAACTGAGGATCACCACTGTGAGCCAGGTCTCTGTTTCCCTTACACCACTGAAGATGCTCAGGAACCAAAAAGAAGACAGAGTTAGTCTCTCAGTCCTGTCCAACTCTGTGTGACCCCATGGACCGTAGCCCACCAGGATCCTATGTCCATGGAATTCTCCAGGCAGGAATACTGGAGTAGGTAGCCATTGCCTTCTCCAGGGGATCTTCCCGACCCAGGGATCAAACCCAGGTCTCCTATATTGCAGGCCAATTCTTTAACCACCAAAACTATGTTGTATCACATAATTCTACTTTTTTTGATTCTCTATATATTCATATATATATATATATATATATACACACATGCACACACACACATATATATATATATGTGCTAAGTCACTTCAGTTGTGTCTGACTCTGTGTGACCCCATGGACTATAGCCCGCCAGGCTCTTCCCTCCATGGGGATTCTCCAGGCAAGAATACTGGAGTGGGTTGCCATGCCCTCTTCCAGGGGAGAGAGAGATATATAGGTAAGAGAGGTTTCAGATTTCTCTGTGTATTTTTAGGTATAGGCCCATGCATACCCACAGGTAAAGGATTGGCTTCTCTTAGGACTTACTAGCATATCAAAAATGTTGGTCAGGCCTGATAGAAACACCAGTGTTCCCTGTGCTGCTGTGTTGGTCAGGTGGGAATGATCGAAGAACACTGGCTCTGCTGCAGCCCTGAAACCGTGGGTAACGATTAGTCAAAATTCCATGTCACCTGCCTTCACTAGTCAAGGTTATCTACAAAAGGCTTGCACGTCCTCCATGCAGCATGTAGCCTAAACAGTAAGATGTTTGCCCGAGTTATTTTCCAGGAACTTGGAGTCTGCTGCATCTTGGAGGTGAGCTGGTTAAGACTGGACAGGACCACCAACCCCTCACACTGGGCCTGCACGAGTGTCTGCCCAGTGACCTCTGATGTCAGAGGGCTCGCAGCCACCCTTAGGTGGTGCCTGATGCCTCCATTTTCCAACGCGCTGATGCCCGTAGCCTAGTGACACCTGTGCAGAACATCCGTCACCTCACCTTTCCCCATGCTCCCTGTGCCTCAGGCTACCCTGCATCTTTATCGCTTAAGTGCCCTAAGCCCCTTGCCTGTGGGGAGGTATAAGTGAGGCTTGCTTACCCCTGGCTGCCTTGTGAACAAGCCCCCTCTCTGCTGTAAACCTCAGCACCTCAGTGTTTTGGCTGCTGCGTGGGGAGCAAAATGAACCTGGTACCTGGTCAGTCAACAGCCCCTGAGCGGTCTAGTTCCCAGTCCGGCTCAGCAGAGACTCGGGGAGTCCCACTTCTGCTGCTTCTACTGGTCAGCAGCCCTGGTAAAGTCAATGGAGGGGATGATACTCTCTAACTAAGAACTTGACTGACCTTTGAAACAGACCCAGTTCTTCCAATGACAGGATCCCAGAATCTTCAGCAAGGAATGAGCTTAGAGATGATTTCCAGTCAACTTAGAAATGAGGAAACATGACCAGAGAGAACAAGTGACTTGCTCTCAGTCACACAGATTCTCGACTTCCGGACAGGGTTCCTCCCTTCCTGTATTTGCTCTGTCTCCTGAGCTAGTGGGCCTGGGTGTCTTGCCCAGATCTCTCTGGCTATCATGTCTCACCACATGCTTGTAGCCAGAGACAGGGACTGGAAAGGGGGTAAGGCGAGCCCTCACACCAGGTCAGGGGGCACACGGAGAGCAGTTTGTGGGGTAGAACACAGGAAAACAATTGGCTGAATGAGTGTGTGGGATCAACACTGCCTTCCAACCACGCAGAGACTTCGGACGGTTACTGTTGCAAACAGCTCTCCAGTCGCTTCCTTAATCTGAGCCTGTGTATGTGACACCCTGGCGGGGTGGGCAGCAGGCCAGTGATAGCTGTGTTTCACAGGTGGCCTGAGCCCCAGAGCACGATGGGTGATCCGGGTCACACAGCTGGGGGGACCAGGCCTGGAAGCTGTGGCTCCCACTTTGCCTGGCCCAGCCTGCAGGGAGGCCTCTAAGGCTCTTCAGGGGTCCCCCTGGTGGGGAATGGGTTCCTTTGGTGGTTGGCAGAGCCACAGGAGTCCTGCGACCTTCCCGCTTGTGGTGAGCTCGCCAAACCTGCCTGACACCTGAG